AAGATTTTGTAAAACTTCATATTTAATGATTTATGTATATTAAATGAATTTAAATATCAGGCATGAACTCACAAAAATTTAAATACGTATTTTTTCGCATTAACAGAAACAAATTGGTATAGTTACAGAGATATTATCAAGATTTTCAAGGTCTTCGGATTTTAATAAATACGCGGTCCTGTGACAATGTATCGAGATTTAAAGCAGCATTTTGCAACATACAAAATGTATTACAATTTTGAATTTATTAATCCTACATTTAATTGAACTATAGATTGAACGATTAGCATGATGATAAACAGTACTATCTGCTTAAATTAAATTAATTATGATTAATCATCATACTTATATAATCACTATTAGACTTACAATAAGATTAAATATGTTTACTTCTATAAATGTATGTACTCGCTTAGTTTATGATAATTATAACATACTTAACACAGGAGCATTTTTAAAGCACAGATAGTATAAACTATTAATTAAAAAAAAAAAAAAAAAAAAAAAAAAAAAACGCAACTTACCTTCGAAAATTTTGTTGCTTGAAATTATTCTATGAATCGCCTTTACCATTTATTTAAGAATTCTTTCTCTTTCGGAAAAGAGAAAACCTGTACTTTTGGACCCTTGGATAGTTCCCTTACAGTTAGGTACACAGCATGTGTAAACCATATCAAAATTTGAAAAACAAATAAAAGTGGAATATTATAATATAGAAATATCTGAAAAAAGAAAGAAAAGTCGACTGTTCTTATGGACGATTTCTGACCAACGTGACCGTCAAAACCTCCGGAAATCCACCCACCACAGTCTGGGTGGGGAGAGTTAAATGAAATACAATCCCTACTAACACTGACGTCACACCTCCTCCTGAGAAACGCGCCGTGGCCTTCAGTTAGTTCTAGGAGGTGTTGATATAGGTCGGTCGCACTTAGAAGCGGTTAACACAAGGGTGCCTGGGTCAAGGCAACACCTCCTAGAACTAACTGAAGGCGAGGACGAAAGTATCCCTACTGCAGTGACGTCACGAACTGCGCGCCGTGGCCTTGAGTTAGTTCTAGGTGGTGTTGGTCAAGGACCCTACCCCTTCTGGAACACGTTCCCTTCTCTGGAAATAGGCGTAATAAAGCAGCGCTACGAAACTTAAGATTCGTGCACGCACACCTTGTATTTAAGCTAATTTTTGTGGCGCTGAGTTCACAAAGAAGGTGCCTATTTTGAGAAGGTGCCTAAACACAGCATGTTCTTATTACTGCTATTAAATAGTGAAGAATCTGTATGTAGGTTTGTATGGTCCTTTAATTGCAGAAAAACATATATGTAGGTATATATGTGGTATATGTAGCCATAAAATTTTTGAACACGCGAACATATGCACCTGAAATCCGGAATTTTGAATTTCAAATATTTCCTTTTTATTTAATGAATTTTTAATTAACAAACTCTGAACGAGTATTAGTAACACTTCGAGGTAAAACATTTTTATATTTAACGCACCAGACTGTTGATATTCTTGAAAATGTAAGATATTTATCTTTCAATTTCAATAAACAAACTCGGCTGTTTAAAAGCAATGTGTTGAACACTAATATGATGAGCTGCAAACAAGTAGAAAAATGTATGTAAACTTAACACTGCATAGGGAATTCTTAATATATACCGCTGAGCTGCTAAAATTCTTGTGATTTTGCTGTTGAATTGTATTAAGACGTAAGTGCAAAGAAAACGATGGTTAACAGTTTGTGATGTTGGGAGGCCCCAACTTGTCAGCAATAGTAGTAGTGACTGCTATGAACTAGAAATTACACAGACTCTTAAGAAGGGTTTAACTCCCTTTTATTTCACTTTAGAAGTCACAGTTGCGTTCACTCGACGCTCACAAACTACGCCGACCCGACGGTTAAACAAAAATAGGAAAGTACAATTAAAAATGAATGACAGGATGCATAACTAACGAAGTCACTATCTACGAGGCTCTATGATTTTAACTATCTTAACCGCGTTTTAAGATACAGCTGAGATTCAGCAAACTTTCTGATTAAGAAGTTGAAAGATTTAACTAACTGCCGAAGTAGGCACACAGGCCGAAACGCGCGGTTCTTAAATTTTCTACCTAGCAACCTTCACGCTCGTGAATCAAGAAGCAAACTTACAAATCTCGTTTCCCTTCTATTTAACTCAAATTACTTCTGCTAAAAATTTGAATACTCTGCGCGTTCTACTAAAATTTACATACTGTGGCATTGGCAATTCCAGGGAAAAGTAAAGGCTTGACAGGAAAGATAGCTTTAACTTAAAATAAATGTTAGTTAAAATAAATATAAACCCTACAAGTTAAAGCTAAAAAATGAAAAAAGTGATTAGCAGTAGTGAGTGCAAGAGCAGACTATACACTGCACCTTAGCAAACACTTTTGGGCTACTGTTAAAATCTGAAACCCTCCAGAAAATTTTTTAAGTTTTTCTTTCATTAATTTTTTTTTAATTTCCTTTCTTCCTTTGTAGTGTTATTGTACATTTGTTTATTTATCTTATTAGTGCTTTAACTTACATTTGTAAGCCTAGTGATATGCTTTGTGGAATACGAGGAATTGGAATTAGAGTTAGCCACAGAAATGTAATTTAGAAAAAGCGAAGAATTAAAATAATATTTACGGACATCCAACACACAACCCGCAAAAACGACAGCTACATTTATTGCTTGTAAGTCGCTTATTTTGTTGATCAGTAGCAGACAGATTAAATTTCTAAGAAAATTAAATATCTTACGTTTTGCGAAATGGCAACACTGGCATGAGGAAGATAAAAATATTTTATTTCGAGTAATAGTAACAAATTTCATTAAATCTTTGAGTTTCCTAATTAAATTTGGAAACATGAATATATAACGCCTTTCCGAAAGACAACACGTTTCTTTTAATGCTCGTGACTGTTAATTAAAATGACATAAATTAAAATGACATTTCATATTTGTGCAAAATTGATAATTTTGCACAAATATGAAATAAATAAAAAAATTAGAAAGTCAAAACTTGGTCTTCGAGATATACAGGTTTGGGTGAAAAACCACGTATGTTTAAAACTTGCGGTTCTATGTGTCGCCATTTTTCTAACGTTCGAGGAATAATACGTACATATATGTAGATTCTTTATTATTTAACGGACATATAGATGAGCATAAAATATTTCTCTTACTGATTTTATCCCCGCTTTAGTAACAGCATAAACATTTAAATTTTTGTGTTTTTACTAAAAAATATCACATTATTCAATACTGTCATAGTCTAAAAGCCCATTTTCGTGTGAATCATTTAAAGAAAGTAGAACGTGCAGCTGCGTCAAATCTTTACAACAGGTGTTTGGTCGCGCAGCATTTCTGAAACACATTGAACAGAAAGTAGTCTTTTATTTCAGACTTTGGTTACAATTACGTACTTCTGGCAAAGGAAAACTATGTTCAGCATATGCTTGAGGTTTTCTGAAGTCTTCAGTGTACACAATTTCTGTAGAAATGGCCATTAGAACTCTCCCGCAGTAAAAGATAGCTTCATCTTTGAATAACCCTTTCGGGGGCTGCAGGTACACAAAACATGGCCCAAAGGTAGGTAGAAAACCTAAAAGTAAATTTGTAATATGTTGAGTGCTAGTACCTCTCTTCCTTAGTAGAAATTTTGGTACTTTTCTGATATGCGAACCGGATATGAATGTATAAATATATGTGTCTATACACGCATGTATACACTCATGTACATATACACACACACATACATATGTACGTACACTCAAATATATGAATACATGCATGCATGAATCTACATATATATTTCCGAATCCACTCCCGATTTCAGAAAAGTGCCGAAATTTCAAAAATTATAAAATGAAAGTAATTGCACTTTCAGCACTTAAGGTATGGGCACAAGGAAACCGTTAAATTAAAGATGATTGTTTTTGTTTTCTCTTGAAATCAAATTGTAAAATAAAACATAATTTAACTTATTCTAAACCCTACTGTAAGCTTCTTAGAGTACGCAACGAATTAGGGTCCCGTCTTTTAAGATCAACAACAAAGTACCCTGTTAGGAGTACCTGTACAAATCCCTGTACGAGTTTCTGTATGAGTACGAATACGTGTAAACGGGAAAGACCTGAATTATTTGAGACTTTTAAAATTAATTTTGTTTCATATGAAAGTTAGATAAATAGAGACTCAAGTGGTTCGGAGGAACGAAACACTCATTAATCAACTTGGTTTAATTGACAGAGCTTGTCAAGGGAAGAGTGTTTCTGTCTGAACGGTTAAACAGAGAAGATTAAAACTTTTATTATTTTTTAGTTTTGCTTTGTACAAATTTTCTGTCTTTTTATTTAGTTTTAGTTTATTTGTTTATGGGAAAGCACTCGAGAGCTACATGATTAAGGGGCGGCATGCCTTCGTGGAGGAATTTTTAAGGGCACTGGCTCTTATGCACGTTACCCACGGGAAGAAACACGGAAAGGACCATCCAACCCGTTCGCCAGCATTCGAACCCCGGTCCGAACTACCACGGTTCAGCAATTTTACCGCTCGATCGCTGGTTGGCTGAAAGAAATCGAGAAACTGTCAGTTTGGCATAAATAATGAAGTTGAAAGAGCAAAAAATTTTGGAATATAGTATTTCTAGCAATGAGAATTTGAGACCCATGCTTGTGTTTTTTCTGGTATAAAAAGAGACCTTTTAGAAATTAATGGTGTTATTTTTTGAAAATTTATTTCAAATGATATGCATAGCTCTGGTTAGCACAATTTTTAAATTTAACTTAATTTAACTTTAATTAAATGTAACTTAAAATTTAACTTATTTTACTTAATCATAAAGCTGCTCGTTCCACGTGCAGTTAAGTTATACAGAAACGAAAGATTTTAAAGAATGTAGGCAAACACACCTTTCTCTCCAGGATTTGATATTTTATCCAGAGAAACATATATTTCTCCAAGTATGTTGTTCAAAACTGTGTCACCATCTCTTAACTGTAAAACAATCGGTTCAAGAGGAAGTGGGAATTTAACTGTGAAAACAATCTGTTCATTCCAGCAAGGAACTGATGTATGTTTCTTTCTTGAAGTTGCGCCCTGAAAATAATTAAAACAATTTTTTTTTAAATCTCTTTCAGATTTTATATTACGCCCAAGGGGGCGCTTTTTTAACGTTTCGTGTGTTACCTTTATTTATTAAATATCATGTTCTTCGCACTTAAACCATAAAATTCAATTCAACAACAATATCGCAAAATATTTTAAAAAGAGCATATCTTTAGAATTTCCAACACAAAAGTCTTGGAGATAAAAATATTTTCTTTTTTTCCCCATACATTGTTGCCATTGCTCGCTTCGAAATCATTGAGTTTCTTAATCAAAAACTTATAAATGCTTTACAAAATATGAAATAGATAATGAAACAAATTCAGAATTGAAAATTTGGGCTTCCATGTACCCATGTTCGGTTGGAGGAATACGTTATTCAAAATTTGATGGCTCTAGGTACCGTTGTTTTATTACTTGCATACATTTATGCAGATTATTCATTATTTAATTTCTTTAAATATAATACAGGGCGATAATATTTGGTGGCAACAATTTGAAAAGTCATTTAGACTTTTAATGTTTTCGATACAAAATGCCAAAACGAAATTAATAGCCTTTCGGGCTGCTTAAAACATGATGTCTAATAAAACTAACATACATTTTTAGATTAACTGAGTGTTAAGTGTACTATTTAATATTATTCCGTTTGTCAGAGTTTCATGATGCCAAACCAAATTCCTTAATCCAAAAAATTTATTATCTTGTTCTAGGATTTTGAGCTTTTTTGATGTTCCTCTTCACAGAAACTGAAATATCGAAAATAGAATGACAGATTGCTTAATTTTTAATTTGCTTAATTGTTAAATTTCTGTAGTAGAAATGCCATTCAGGAATGGAAATTCTTATAATCAACTATGTTGTGAAATTCCTAGTTCTACCATCCAGCGTGAACATAACACTTACTCAAGTACCTGTGTAGAGATATAAGACTGAATTCTGTCTTGAAAGGCTTACATTTCTGTGATTTCATATAATAAAGATTAGGTTTTTCGGAATTAGCGCAATTTTTTCCAGATAAAAAAAAGAATGATGATTTATAACTGCAAAAAATTACTTATTATGCACTATTGCATACATATTTTACGTTTTAATTACGTACTTATAGTAAGAAATAAATTTAGAAGCTGAATTATCTCTCATTCTTTCTGATGAAAACTCTCAGCTCTCAGTTTATAAAAATATTCAAAGCAAGTGCTTCCTTCAACCATTTTGAGACAAAAGACAGTATTCGACAGTATTCTAACAGCAATTTTACAGCAGATTCTTCCATTGCAGGCTAATCCTACGAGCACATATTTTAAAGCTGAGTTCACGATGAAAAACAAATTGTCTCGATTTGTCTACAAATGTCCCTTGGAATAGTACTTACGTATTAACACTGTATATACACAGCGAAACTGTCACCAAGCAGCGCGATTTAGCGACTATGAATAAGCGTGATTTAGCAACACATTCATAACATACAACACACTCATAACTTTCATTTGATATAACCCCGATTGATTCTCGATAAGCCACGTTTTATTTTTATGAACAAAGATACTATTTAATTGTTTTATTGTATCTTTTCCTTGCCTTTTGAAAAAAATTAGATTTCTCTTCTATAGAAGAGCAAGCAACAGATTTTTCTCAAAGCTACGGGATCCTACCGTAAACAAAAAACAAAAAGTGTATTATTGAACAGATACAGTCAGTTGAATAGGACCTAAAAAATAGCAAAATATTGGGAGAATTGTGCTCTAAACAGATCTTCCGGTAAAATCGAAGGGTCTAACAAAACAGAAGAAATGGAAGAAAAAAATTTTTAAGGAACGCAAAAACGAAGCAGATCGAATACTTATCGTTTATTAAATAAAGGGGCTCTAGTTCCAACAGAATCCCAGGAACGGCTGGGGCAATTTTGGCAGGTTCTCCTCCAAATTTCACGATTCAATGGTAATGAGCTTTCAAGTTTAACGGGATAATACGTAAGTACCCTCGCAACACAATAAAAAGAATTAAGATATAAAAATGACAACATTTCTTATTAAAACTGAAGCTTTATGTCATGCATATACGTTGCCACAGTTTGGCACGGTCTGAAAATCTGGAGACTTCTGCTAAGATGATTGGGATAATAGATACGTACCAAAATTGCTTTATATTCGAGACACCACTCAGAAGAAGACGAAAATAAAATTCAAACCAAAGATTTGCAATAAGCAAGAATTATTATATTTTTGGAAAATCAGGATTTTTTATCCAAAGGATGTTAAGCTTTGAAAATAAATTAAAGATGATATTGTGAGTAAACAGATCAACAAAAATTAAAAGCTTTATTTCCAAAATATCAAATTATGGATTAAGAATAAATAGATATCTACATCGTGTCTATATAACAAATCACAAAGTAATATTTCAGACATCAGTTCAAACACTAAAAGGAAAGGGAGTGTCATGATATCAGTATTTTTTATATTCCCAATTAGAATACTCTTCTTAAGAGGCAAATACAAGTAAGTCAAAAAGAACGAATAAACTATTTCTTCTTAAGAGGCAAATACAAAGCAAGACAAAAAAAGAACGAATAAACTATTTCGATTATTTAAAATCTTTTATGATAAAAAAAAGGATATTGTTATAGTATGTAATACTGAATTATCACACCTACATATAAATCGTTCTAAATAAGCACCAGCCTCACGTCCACTGACCATACTTTCTCAATGACTGAACACTTTTCAAAATGTATCAGAAAATTTTGGTAGTCTCAAAGCCTTTTGACATTACATTCTTCAATTTTTAGCCATGCTGATATGTCAGAAAAACTTCGTCTGCTCCATTTACTTCTAAACCAAAAACGGATACTCAGACAAGCATCGAGAACATGGATGTGCACTTACTGTAACACTCTGGTAGGACTCGATTTCGTTTGCATACTACATACAGTGTAACACACACTGAAAAAAAATCTCAAAATTTGATGATATACGTAATACTGTGATATTTCTTCAGTCTATATCTCAAGTGATTTTTCTTTAACAAATAATTGTTGTATATCAAATGTGCAAAGTAGGTTTACCTTTTTGAATTATCCTGCGTTAGAGACACTCAGAAGAAAAGGTACTGAACCTTAGCTGTTTACAAAATGATGGGGAACTCACAATGACATACAGAGGATGTTTACACATATTTAGAATGATTTCGGGCCGTTCAATTAATCTTTAAAATGTAAAGAATACTTTTTAAATGTTCGATCTGCTCCCAAGGGTTATTGCATTTCTTCTTCATTCAGAGTTTATTTTCATTCCTCTTTGACTACTTTCCACAATCCATCAGTCGTGGTGGGTCTGTGCTTAAAAAGAGCTCTTTTCAAGAGACCAAACGCAGAACGGGCAACAAGCATCAGGGGACTTCGCAGGAATAGCTTGAAAAGGTCATTATGAGAGAATCGAACGACAATCATAAACCCATTACTGAAACTTCTTTTGCATTAATGAAACCAGCACTGTACGTTTTTCTTTTCGTTTTCAATGATAAATAGATTTTTTTTTTTGTGTGTGTGTGTGTGTGTGTTTGTTTATTTTGTTTTGTTGTTGTTTTTGTTTTGTTGTAGTCATTTACGTGAACCCATGTTTCATCAAGTGTCATAATGTACCTCCATTTATCTCCTGCTAAATAGTTTTTATACAAGGTTCTACAAACTGTTCTTTAAACCACATGCCTCGGCAAAAGCTGGAGAACATTATATTTTTTAGCTACTTAAATTGGAAATCTCGATTTATTATTTTATTTATTGTTGCTGTAGATCTAGACTTTTCAAATGATTTCCGAATTGGCAGATTTTCTCTTGTTTCTATGATTTAACTTTAGAAATATTAGAAAACTGTATCTACCTTTTTCGGATATTCGTTTGAGTCGTCTTTCCATGCAGAAGTAATGATTGACGGTTTTCCCATTTCCGATTAATAATGCTGTTTATTCTAAACTTAGAAATTTTAATACTATACATTTCACAATGTTTTTGAATTATGGGATAAGAATATTTCTCTTTCGAAAGCGCAAACTCACACCTTTCAATCCACAACTTGTTTACATGGGACAGTTTCAAAGAAGAATAAATTTAACAGTAGGAGACGATATTTCTCATTTCAAATAATAAAGTGTTGCCTGAAATTTTTATTCCAAATCATTTACTCATTTTTTTTTTTTTTTTTTAATTCTTCATCGAAAGAAGGTGATTCTAAAAAGGTGAAAACATCCTCTGTATTCACGGCCGTTTATATGGAAATAATCTGATCGCTCTGAAACAGGTGGTACTGTTTAAATCGAATCATTGAATAAAAAAAAAGCAAAAATAGTAGTGTTATTGCCAGAAATCTCTGAAATCTAAAAAATGGCATTCCAGATTAATGGGCTTACAGAACAGGAAGTGACCGCCATAGTAAAATATTATTTATGTTTTTGTGACAGTAACATTTATTGTTTAACTATTTAAATTTTTAGATTTCCTCTTGGTTTCTGCTTCTGTCACACTAATGCATCCAATTCAGTTTTTAGTAAATATCATTTACATGAGAATGTAATGCAATTTCTTCATTGCAACTTTGCAAGATTAGTTACTGTTGGGAAAGGGATTCGTTGCTATTGGGTGTATGTTTCTGAGCTATAAGTCGGTCGTTACTCTATAAGCCTTTTCGGGAAGTTAGGGAACTAGTAGACTTCTATGCGTCTGACAAAGTATTTAAAATTGTTAGCGTTGGTGAAGTTAATAAGTAGTTAGAATTGTTAATGGCTTAAAGCCAGTGTATCTATTCCCAAACTAGTAAAATTCACGTTTTTGTACTGTACGTTTACTCTGATTTAAAATGCAAGTTGGGACTTTTACTTATTGCCCATTTAAGTGGGTTATAAGTTCTTTATTCTAGTGCGGATGATAAATGGGCTGGACAGGTAGCCTCGGAAAGATTAGAGGGCGCATATTCGTTAGATCCAAAACAATTTCACAAACAGTGAATTTAAGTTTACAGCTACGCGTTGAAGGTAATAGAATGTAAATAAGAATATGTAAATAAGTTTTGCAGAGAAGACTTTATACTTTATGAGATAGTTTAAAATGCACTATAAATGATTTCTTGAAGGAATGTCCAAGGCACAACTCGTTGAAAATTACTGTTTCTCTAATAGTGAACTCTATAAGGCGATAATATCTTTTCTTATTTTTATTTAAAAATACAATAAAAATACATGCGATACATTACTTAGAACCGAAGTTCTCGACAATTGACTCCGATGCGACTTGGTGTCAGCAAACGAAAAGAACTAACACACTTTCTCACCTAATTGGCGGCGATCAATTTTGAAGTGCAAATCAACAAGTTTGGCGCAATTGCAGTTAAAGACAGCAGCAATTACTGATGAGCAGAATATGATGATTTGTGAGCTTTTCAGAATAATTACAATGTAAAAATTGCCTTACAGCCATGTCTCATTGCCTTGCGACTACTTTATATTTGGCAAGGATCTCAAATATCCTGAAGGAGATCTGCGTGAAATTAACTTAGTTGGATGATGATCTCGAGAAAGGTGATCAAACCTTTCCTGTTAGCAAAAGTAGAACCTCAAGAAGTAATCCATTGTTTAGTTGTTCAGTAATGATTACTTTCATAATTGAAGTAAACATTTTTTAGCATCTTAAAAGCAAAAATGACTTTACAGCAGGATACTTTTCATTTTCAGTTTTCAAAACAAATCGGCATTTAGACTAAACAAAATCATTTCTCATTTATTCATTCGATTATGAAATATGTCTTTATCTAACAAATAATTTTTATTTTAATGTTAAATTTTGATGTTCTTTTGCTGAAAAATCAATTTCATTTGTACTCCATAAGTGTGTGTGTACTTTAAAAGTCTTATGAAGAGGGAAATAAGATATATTCTACACGTTCTTTTAAACATACCTTAAGGCCTGCGAAAGAAACTTGCACGTATGGATCTATTAACTCAGCAACGTCCACGGATAACGTTTTTCTCACATGGGCCATTATTCCACTATCCGGTTTCGAAATGCCATCAGCTTTGTAGATTTTCACCACTAACCTTGCAAACTGCTCGTCCGTGCTGGCATCTCCACCAGCTTTCCTGCAAAGCAAAATGAAACTCTATTCTTTATGAGATCAAATCAAATTCCTTTAAGTAATCATAATAAAAGCTCAATACGGTTAAAACGTCAATATGGTTAAAAAGTTAAATTTGGAAATAATAAAGATGAAATTCACTGTGATAGCAGTTGGAAAAGATTCCGAAAAAAATTATTTTAATCGAAAGATATTTTTAATTTAAGGCCGTATTTTCTTTGAACACTGATCTACATTTTCATCCTGTAGTTTTCAAGAGTATTGTTTTAACATCTCGAAGGAGTATAAGACAGAGATCAACTTCAAAGAAAAGGTGATGAGATGACTGGGCCATCTGCCAAGACACGAGGATCTCACAATACAGATAGAGTGAAAATTTCTCATTCTTAGTTCTTGCTAAGACAGGGAAGCAAAAGAAGCGTAGTTTTTTACTTGTGTGTTGTTACTTAAGTTATCTAGCATGGTTTAAAAGAGGAAAAGATTAACATTAAAACAAAATGTTGATGCGATTCGTGTAACAGAAATTGAAAAACTTACTTCGAGAGATTTAGGGCAGGAATTTCGAATAAATAAAACTCAAATACGTCAAGTGCTAAGGGATAGAGAAGAAACAATATTGTTTGTGGATTACTAAATCAAATAAACATTCCAAGCATGCAAAATTCAGAAAACCTGAAGCATGTGAAATTGATACAGTACTGTTCAACAGGTTGTTCAGTAAGAGCAAGCAAGTTGTAAGTGGAGTATTATTGCAAGAAAAGACAAAAAAAAGTTTCGGAAAATCTGGAACTACAGAACTTCAAAGTATCAAAACCTTGGTTAGACGAATTTAAGCAAAGACATAGCTTACTACCTATGTGGTGAAGAAAATTCAGTGAATATGCAAGATCTAACAGACTGTATAAAAAAGGTAAATGAAATTTGTGAAACATATCAGGTTAAAAACATATGCAATGCAGATTGGATTATTTTGTTGAATTTTTCTTAATAAAACTTTGTGCTTCAAAGGAGAAAGGTGCTCTGGTTGTAAAATCTCTAAGGAAACGACTTTCCATGCTACTTTGTTGTAACATGAAAGGACAGCTTAAGCAATCACTTGTAATTGGAAAGGCCAAAAAACCGAGATGCTTCATACACATCAATTCATAAGCTTTATCGGTCCATTAGCTATTAAATTAAAAGTTATATGTGATGGAAATCTTGATGTCAGAATTGTTGGTTACTCTTCATAAAACAATGCCTAGAAAAAGTAGGAAGATTCTGCTATTTCTTGACAATTCGCTAGCCCACTCACCAAGTGTAAAACCGAAATTAGTGTATTTACCATTTAATGCAACGTCAGTATTACAGCCTTTAGACAAAGGTATAATTAGAAGCTTCAAAGTTCATTACAGAAATCTGTTTTTATAGCATGTTCTTTGTCAAGCTTGCCTTGAGAAAACAGCAATCAGCTTGCCGAATGTATTATTGCATTGAATGCCATTCGGCCAGGATTCTCCAGGATTTATTCGAGCCCGTCTCGAATTATGAATTTTTATGCGATCTTGTACACTTGTATGACATGGTCCTGTATGACAATGAACATGAAAGGTAGTTAATCTTCAATCAGAGATACAGATTTGAAGACTATTTAGTGAAACATTTTTTCTCTATAATTATCAACGGAACATAACAGTCTGCTTCAATACTGATAAGAGGAAGCTTCTTGCCAATAATTTCCAAACTTTAATAATAAGCCAAAGTAACCCAAGTAGTACGTCCAACTGAAGATTAGTTTGAAAGGGGACAATGCATGCTAAATTTGTTTACTAACCACACTGGCTGGTTAAGTTGATAACTTACATATTAAAATTTGGCGGTTCAGTTTGTCAGTTTTTGGCAACAAACCTCAGTAACCTCCTTCATAAGAAAATACTATAAGTCGTATTATACTATAAAAATGGGCAACTTATTTTGTGTCCATAATTTTTAGCTGAAATGGCTGCATCTTACATCAATACAAAATAATATTTAATATTCAGATTACTACATTTGAAATGGAGGTACTTCCTTGTTGAGGCATCCAACGCATAAGCTCTTGGAGACATGCTATTAAGTTTACTTATTTTGGCCACTAAACATGAAGGCGGCGTCAACAAGGAAATACCCGAAACAGAATAATAGTTTAAGTAAACTAAAAATTAGTAATTAAGTAACAGAATAATTATGTTTCGTTAGGTTTAAACATAATTTTAAATTGGAAGATGTATGGAGATGATTTTCATGTAGGATATCACTACAAAACCCTGAATTTATGGAAAACTACTTTTCATCTTATTTTATATAAAATAGAAAATAATAAACTTACGCGTCAGAAGTAACCTCTTCGCTCTTTTCAGGAGTAACCTATAAAAAAGAAATAATAACTGTCATCAGTTTTAATAACGTATTAGAGTATTATGAATTTAGAACAGTAATTTTAATAATTAAACATTTACTCTAAAATCAGATTCACCAATCTGGTTTTTTCTCTTACAGTTAAGCTCATTTTGTTGATATTCGAATTTTATTCAAATTACAAACTTACATTGCAACTTTTCCCATTTTCCCATAATTGACAAATCATATTTTTCTTTTATTTTCATTCACTTTTCATATGTAAATAATGAATCCAAACACACTTCCATTTTAAAAAATTTCTCATTCAGTTTCAAAATTTCTGCATCACGTTCGAAAAGAAAACGAAACGCCCATAAAGCTGAAAATAAATTAGTACTACATAATGACTGTTTTAGGTTTAGTGTAATGTTAGTAATAAAATTACGATGTGCGCATTTCTTTGATACCTCTTCAAGTTAAAATTTATAATTTTTATTCTTCGGTTTTGGCAACATTATTTTAAACACTTTTCCTGCTTTAAAATAACAACAGCTGCAGACGACATTCAAGTGTTATTCAATAAAATATTTTAAATTTTACTTTAGCAAGTGTTTTGCAAATATAATCTTAATTAGCTTGTCTCTCTGTTAACATTACAAGTGCGAAATTTACGGATTATTGCAACCCTCTAAAGATAAAGCGCCAATTTTTCAGAATAAGCCAAAATCTAGCAACTATATGCGTAATGATTCTTCAGTTTTTTACAAGCAATGTCGCCATTTTCGTATAGGTTCTATTTGTAAGTTTGAGTTTCCAACTGTTGTTATAGAAAAATCTTGATACTTTTTCTGTCAAACTCAGTTTCAAAATGTGGAGTAAATTTATCTGAAATGCCACAAAATTTCTGCAAGAACACAGCATTATGTCACAAAATCGCTAAAAGGAAAAAAATACTGAGAAACTAGTCTTAAGTTACTAGCACAAAATTTCCTTTCGGACAAAAGAAGCAAAAACATGCTTGTAAGTAGATTTACTGATTAACTTTTCGGGATATATTGTACCTCTGTTTTGACTCGGAATTGCAACTCCCAAAATGATTTATTTTCACTGCACAAACACGCAGAGATTATTGAAACTGGTTACATGTATTGTTCAATGTAATGTTGAAATGATTCGTACATCGTAATGGTTAATAACATTCAATATTTTCTATAGCGTAAATTAAATGCTGCGTAGGTTAGAACGGTAATAAATTTTCTCGATCACAACATTTCCAAAAAAACTGGGTTGTCGAATTCATCTATTAAACAAAATTTCAGAACAAAGTATTAAAAATAAATAAATCAATAAATAAAAATCTGAAAGGTTTCAGATTTTAAATTACGTCCGAAGAGTGTTTTTTACCATTTTATGTGCTACCTTTATTTATTAAATATCATGTTCTTCGCACTTAAACCATCAAATTCGCAAAATAATTTTTAAATGAACATATATTTAGAATTTCCGATACAGAGGCTCGTGCGCTGGATATATATATTCGTACAGTGTTGCCACTGCTCGCTTTGAAATCGCTTAGTTTGTTAATCAAAATTTCGTTGAAGTCTTACAAAATATGAAATCGATAATAAAACAAATTTCAAATTCAAATTAGGACTTCCACATGCACATATTCTGTAGAAGATTACATTATTAAAATTTTGATGGCTCTAGTTACTATTGTTTTATTGCAATGCGAGAAACATACATACATTCATGCAGATTCTTCATCATTTAATTTCTTTAAGGGGTGTCAGCAAACTCAATACCGACAATGTTAAATTGGCCATTTTCGATGTACCTTTCCTCAAAATCTGCTGTAGATACACGCTTAAAATTTTGTGTGTAGTTAAAGTATATCTATTTGACTAAACTGAAATGAGATTTTGAAACATTTTGAATTTTAGAGTAATTTACATAATATTTTGTTAGGCGTAGTAAAATTTAGTACTTTTCTCAACCAATTTTTTTTTTAATTTTTTTCTTAGTTTATAACAAAAAGCTCATTTCAGTAAATATTAGGAAATCTAATAAATATGCCATAAAAATTTTAGATACCTGTGTATAAAAAACTCACATTTGGAGAAAAACGCGGTATTATGTAAAAATCCTCATTTATCAAAGCATTCGATGACAAATTAAAATTAGATTTTTTACATTCTAATTTTCATAGAGATTAAAGAATAGTATTTTTAGTAAGATAAAAGTGTAGAGAATTTGAAAATGCAAAAATCCGAAATTACCATTTTTTGAAGATTTTTGGGTTCCACCCAAAAAACTTCAAAAACAATTTCAATGCAACAGGGTTTTTTTCCAACACTCCTATTGTATTGAAATGTATTTCTTCAACAGCTGGCTCGAAGAAGTTTTGAATCTTGTCGACATAGGACTGTGAACTGACAGTAACTGTTTGATTGTCTTCCTCCAAAAAATAAGAGCCAATTATCCAACTCTCAGCAACATTTACCATAAAAAAAAAATAATAAATATAAAAAAATAAAATAAAATAAATATAAAGGCATGTCGCAAGTTTAGTTTAATACTACTTCAGATGTTAAACTGCAGTCCGAAGATAAAGCATTTTTTAATTTATAAAATTTGATATGTATTTTAATTTTTTTAATTTTGATTAGTAATTATTATTATTATTATTTAGTATTACGTTATAAATCTGAAGATTTTAGACAAATTTAATACTTTTGCATTTAACCTGCAGTATTAATTTTCTCATACATATTTTCCTGCTTCATCTGTGGAACTTTGATTAATAATTTAAAAGTAATAATTATAATAAAAATAAAAATTTAACCCGCCCTTTTTTTCTTCAAACTGCAGATATTATTTTCTACATATAATTAAATGCGAGAGGAGTAGTTTAAAAGAGAAATATAGAAGATTAATTTTTGCAAAAATCAAAAGCAGTCTTATTGTCGGAAATGATGTGTACATAAATGTGCGGTTTTCATTATTTGTGTAAAATTTTAACTAAAATCTAACTAAATTTTAACTAACTTGTCCGATGGGACCTCGTCTCATTTCAGAACACTAAGAGAACTTCTGCTCATAGTGCTGCCATCTGTTAATAGTGCATGAAGACATCACACTCGGATCTTTTGTAGGTGAAACCTCGAAATTCGCAAACTGCTAAGTTCTGGAAAATAGCAAATAGACTACAGTGTTTTCTTTGAAAGCACTATAATCTATTTCACTGATGTTTAAGCAGAATTAAACATTTTTTGTTTAAAATGCAATAATAGTTATTTGAATTTAATACCTTTAGCATAACACTTCTGCATTTTGAAACGTTTGGTAGCTCCCTAATATATTTTTTTTTTTTTCCTATTGTAATATGCTAAATTCAAATATGTCAAGTTTTATCTATCACCTATTTTTAGAGAAGTGAAAAAGAATATAAAGTATCAGAAACTCAAACTGTAAGCAATTTAATGAATTTTGAAAGATTTAAAATTACAAAATATACTTTATTTCGTATCGAAAAAAGTATGATACCATGAAATAATTTTTTTTTTTTTTTTTTTTTTTGTCTTTTATGCTCTTGTATTCGCAGGGATCAATTTCACGTCGGATGGTCCAACAGTAGTCCGACATGTTTGAGGTATTTGAGTACTTAGTGAAATCTTTCGCCGTGTTCGCCTGCAACTACACCTAAATTGTCAGGGAAGAATTTGAAATGGGAGTGAAGAAAATGTAACTTAAATGACATATTTCAACCTAACGTCTTATACGATTGGATACGTTCTTAAACCAAATCTTTGTAGTTCTCCGATTTCTTATTACCTAGGAAGTTGCTACATACATTTTTGACGGCAGTCCATGCGCTATTTTCTTTTGTCGAAAGTGTAGTTCCAAAATTTTCGTCTTTAAGAAGTTCTCGTATTTGCGGCCCAACGAATAGTCCTTCTTTATGCTTTGCCTCACTTACTTTTACGTGCAAATTTCCGTCTTAAATAATAATAATAATTAAAAAAAAAAAAAGCATCTTTTCTATTTAAGACTTTAATAAAAAATTTTATAAGCCCTATTTTTATACGCAGAGGAGGTGAATAAATTTTCTGGTGCTCTACTAACGGTTCACCGAGAACGTTTTTCAGACTGGGCAGCATATCTTCACGTAACGGCCATTCTTTAACGACATAATGTTTGTTTCTGTCTTTGCTGTTCCATTCGCATAAAAAACAACAGTGTTTGGTAGAGGTACTCTGCAGTCCTATAAGCAGTACAACAACTTTTAAATCGGCACACATATTCCATTCATGATCTTCGTAATTTATGCTTTGAAGACGCATTAGGTAAAAATTATCGAAATAACTCATTAGTTTGGCGGGGAGGACTTTCGCGCAGAACAGTGTGATTCGGATCCTTGTCACAATATGCTTTCGAGGATCTTCCCAAAATGCTCCTTTAAGTTTTTACGGGTTTGGGGAAATATTGCAGTTTTCTAGTTACTGCCTGATTTTATTTAGGTTTAAGTTAAGTAGAGTGAATTACTGAAACAAATTTTTACGCATTTCTACCAGTTCTGGAAATTTTTCGTACTTGTCATGGGAAAGCAATATCAAAATTCGATGTAATGTTTGATAATGAAGCGATATTTTACAGAATTTTTGCACATATCCTTGCTTAATGATACAAAAAATATCATTACAGAATTTGTTTTTACACTGTCAAATACATTAGAAAATAGTCATCCAAATGAAGTTCTTGTAAACCTTTAACATAATGATTTTCTTGTAAACCTTTAACATAACTTTTGACAACCTTTCTAAGTTTTCTACATTTTTTTTACATCATTACATGTTGCGCTTGGCAATGATTACAGACTTCAAGTAACTTCGCTGCTAAGTGTTGATGAGGAGAAATTTAGCAGGAATTCTTTCTATGTGCAAAAACCAGATTTTGTAAATGACACTAATAGGCCAAAAGATTACATTTAGTGACGTTTGAATCTAGAATTTCTTATTTGTTAGTCAGATAAGCCGAAGACCTGTGCCAGAGATGGTGCGGCCGCATCAAAGGCAGAATTTAGTAAAGGAAAAATTTTTACAGTTTAGAGAAGCATCGAGCAATAAAATTAAAGGATAGCAAAATCTTTACAATTCAGTGGTGGCAAAAACTTTAGAATTTAAGGAGACGTTTGACAGCAGAATTTCGGACCAGACTGCATGGGTCCCAAAATATGTAGCGCCAGCTTTCGTATAAACCTTAACTAATCTATTTTTTTCGTGATTCAGACAAGTGTGGAAAGTAGCCTTAAGTATAATAAATAATTAAATCAATATAAGTCAGCTATAATTTCGTCATCGTGTGATAGAAACTGTAGCG